GTACTAGGTGGTGATAATCATGCTAGCTCCCTAGAACAACAGATAGCACTGAATAAGTTGCGTTGGCTCGGGCACGTGCTACGCATGCCTGGTCACCGCTTACCTAGGAGGGCCTTGTTCGGTCTACCAGGTGTTGCTTGGCGCAAGGCTCGAGGTGGACAGAAGTTGACTTGGCAGCGGGAAATGAAGTCACTGATGACCAAACTGCGTGTTGTTGGCCCGTCTCGCCTTCCGGGTTGGAGTCCACGTGACTCACATTGTGCTTGGCTCGAGACTTTACAGGACATGGCTCGTAGTAGACACCAGTGGCGCGTCTGCTGCCGTCTCCTAATCGGATTGTCTGTTCAAAGTGTGTTTGGTGCTGAGTTATCTGCGCGGTAATGGCTGATTATGACGCGTGGCAGTGAAAGCCGAAAGGAAGCTGTCTCGCCGATGCCGCCTTATCTTTGCACGATAGCCAGCTGTTTGTGACGGTATGTTGTTACCACAAGGTGTAGGCGCCTTGACCCTGAATGTTTGCTTAGGGCATTAAGGTTTTCAGGTAAGTCCCCCTTCTCTCCCTCTTCTTATTCTTTATTTCATAGGTCCTCATGGTTGTATGGCAGCGAAGCATCAGTTCAAATGGCTGATGTACTGCTGTTGATGATGATGGTTGTCCACCGACCTTACGGACAATGAAGTGTGCTTGCCAGGCTACGCACTGCTGAGAAGTGACCGCACCTCTAATCGGCGCGGAAGTGGCGTTGGTTTGTATGTTAACTCCGCACTTACTGTATTTAAGACGTATAGGTTAAGATCACCAAAGGGTGATGTTGAGGCACTCGCAGTTTATCTGTGTATTGCCTCCGCGCAACTTAAAGTTGTGCTGGTCTATAGAGGCCCCAAAAGCGTTGCTAAGGGGCTTGTTGATTTCACCCGCGAACATTCGGCAAATAGGCGTTTAGTGATGGGGGACTTCCCGAGGTTGACTGGCAAAATTTTTCCTGCGACGCTGTTAAAAGGTGTTTGGCTACCGAGCTGGTCTTGCATGCTTCCCTGCACCAAATTGTCGATCGGCATACTAGATTCACGATGGGTCAAAACCCGCCCCTCTTGGACTTGATCGCCAAATCCATTGATTTTGTCACGGATATTGTATACAACCCACCTCTCGGTGCTAGCGACCACGAATCTCTCATTTAAGTGCGCCCTTTGTCGTCAGACTAATGATGATCCCGACCGAGTTCCAGATATATGGCGCGCGGACTTTCAGACAATGAAAGGCAAAGCCGCAAAGTCGTCTTGTGTCATTTTGGAAAGTGGCGACATTCAGATTTAAATCAAACTTGAGTGAGCTCTTTCTCCCCCACATACCACTATCTGGCAGGAACAAAACTAGGGCAAAGACACCATGGTTTGATTCTGCTGTACGTAAACAACTTAAAAGACTTGCCAGATGTTAGCGTACTTACTTATCTGCTCCTTTATTATGCACCTTCAAGCGATATCGTGAGGCTCGAAATGCCTGCAGGCAGCATCTACGAGGTGCTCGTCTACAGCACAGTAGAGCTTGCTCGTACAGCCTCATCAAACCCGAAACGCTTCTTCGCTTATGTCAAAAAGCGAAGTAACATGCTCGTGCATTCCAGTGTTGTTTGACCCTGACGGCACTGCTGCTGTCACGGATCACAGAAAAGCTTGTTTGCTCGGAGGACAGTATGCTGGGGTTTATGTTCGAGAGTCACAGCTGCCGCATATCAGCCTCCAGGCAAAAGTTCCTTAGGGTTTCCCCTTGGAGGTCTCTATAACGCAGGCTCAAGTGCTCAGGCTTCTGAAACAATTAAATCCCAATAAAGCTGCCGGTGGGGATGCTATTCATTCCAAACTATTGCACGAGTTGGCTGATGAACTTTGCCGTCCGATTACGCAACTTTTTGTGAAGTCTCTATGAGGCTGCTCTCTACCCAAGAACTGGAAGGAGGCTATTGTTTGTCCCATTTTTAAGAAAGGTGATAAGCACCTCCCTGATAACTATAGACCGGTTAGTTTAACGAGCGTGCTGATCAAATTGTTGGAAATGCTCGTGAGGAACGCTCTCGAAGGACACTTGAAAGCCTTTGAGTTGCTTAATCCTTCTCAGCACGGCTTTCGTAAGGGCTATTCTTGCCTTACTAACTTGTTAACGGCTCGTGAACAATGGGCCGAAGCCGTTGATTGCGGGAGGGCAGTGGACGTGCTGTTCATTGACTTTTCCAAAGTTGTTGACACCATTCCACATTCGCACCTTTTGTACAAGCTGGAGTCCTACGGTATTTCTGGACCAGCCTTACGATGGATTACAGCTTTCGTAATCGGAAAGGAAATGTGTGTGCGGGTGGGTTCAAGCCTCTCCTTCCGCCAATGTGTTCTCAGTGGCATCCCGCAAGGTTCAGTCCTTGGCCCTCCTTTCACTTTATGTTAATGACCTATCTGATGAATTGGGCGTGCCATCCTTAATGTTTGCGGATGACTTGAAACTAGGGTTCATGATAGACGATCCAATTGGTCCAATGACTCTACAGAGGGCACTAGATAGACTCTAGGACTGGTCAACTTTGTGGTAGTTGCCCGTTAATTTAGCGAAAGGTTCAGTTTTATGTGTTTGTCCGAATGACCCGCCAACGCGTTATTTTTTTGGCGGCAACGAGGCACCGCGAGTTCAATTCCAACCTGACCTCGGTGTCTTGCTGTCATCAGACTAAGTCCAGTGAACACTGGACGACAGCTGCTCGTAAAGGTTCCAATATGTGGATGATCCGCAGGTCATTCGGGATCATGACCACCGAAATGTTCGTTAGACTATTTTCGGCTTTCGTAAAACTGCACTTGGAATACTGCGTTCAGGCTTGTTCGTCATGCCTGCTTCGTGATAAGATGGCAATTGAACGAGTCCTGCGGTCCGGGACTAAAATGGTGCACGGATTAGAGGCTGACGTACCCGGAGAGGCTAGGTAAGTCAAATGTTTTCCATTTATTACAGGTGGCTTCGGGGCGACTTGGTCCCTACATATCGTATACTGATGGGTCAGATTGCTCCTGATTTGACTGGACAGTTTCGCACAACTCGAGCGCCAACCCTTCGTGGCCACCCACTAATGTTGAACAAACCTCGGTCTGACCGGATTCAGGCAGCTTTTCGGTTACCGCCTAGGGTCATAGCTTATTAGAACGCACTGCCTGTAGACGTCGTGATCGCACTGACGGTGAACGTTCGAATATCGACTTGACGCTCTCGGTCTGCAGTTGAGTTTTCCCCTTCGTGTCTTAAACTCTATTTGTCTACTACGGCCTACGCTTCTGTAACTCATTTTAACTTACATCTTAATGTTGCTTACGAAATTCGATTAGCTTGTCTTCTCTCCTTTCCTTAACTGACACTAGTTTTCCCTTATTCTTTACGTGGCCGGCACAGCGGGGACTGCTAGTGCAGGGCATGTGGGCACTGTCTGGTTGAACTTGTGAATCGTGTGTGTTGACTTGGCTCTCCTTTAGCACATCAAGGCATGGGTTGCCCAGTTGGATTAACGTTTTCGAAGGTGGAACATTTGGGGGATTTTCCTACTGTTCCGGTCCAACTTAAGTTTGCATTTTATATAGGAAAATTTTCAGCATAGAAAATGCAGTAAATGCATTTTATAAAGTCCGAATACGTTTCGCGTTCGACGCAAATCGATATCCAAAGCGCAATAACCTCCCTGACGGCACAAGTGTCTGTTGGGCGTCTTTTGAGCATCCCACGGACGTCCGTTTAGTGTCCTATCGGAGTTCTGTCTAGTTATCTTTAAACGCAAGCCACATAAAGATGCACAGGAAAACGGCTTTAAAATACTGACAAACTGATACGCACTTAAGCAAATATGCATTCCATATTGCAAACGTGTCAACACTCAAGTCGCGCTACCATACGACTACGTAAGGGTTGAGTAACGAAATGTGGACTACAATCGGCATTAACCATGCGCTACAAAAATGCATAAGTAAAGTAGAAACGACTCCCATAATGTACGAAAGATAAGTCCCTTATTTTTTTCCGGAGCTTATTTAGTCAAATACCTGCCGTCCTATGAGTCTAGTCCAAGACTCCTAGCCGTCCAATGGTGCCGACATGGACGACAGTGCGTATGCCCAAGTTCACGCAATTTCTCGAAGTCTGGCTGAGACGGGATGAAACACAAATCCGTCACTCAGCGGGAGTCAATCTGTTATTCTCACTGGTCGGCTATAAGATTTTATTAAGAATAAATGCGGTGTGCACAAGTTGAATCACTGTCTTTTGCTACGTTGCGTCCAGACATTTCAGTAGTTCTGCGAGTAATTAAAAACGCCGAAGCGATGGCTGAACCTTTCCTAGTACCGACAGGGTCAGCTGATTGATTTGTAAATGTAACGGTGATTTCTAAATGATGTGCTTTCGTCTGTGACTCGATTTCCAAGCAGTGAGGTGACCCCATATCAGGGAAACAGATGAGTTCAGTCCTCACTGCAAAAGAATATGCAGAGAGGAGTGAAACTAACGTCATAAAGGCAAATTGCGCAAAGCTATTTTTACTGTTTCATATACACCACAAAGCCATGAACTGATGGGTCTCCTCTGGCATCACAGCAAACGCCAATCGGGTAATAGTGCTGACAGACGACGATGAGGGATTGTTTAGGCGATTTCAGTCGCACAATCACCTCCCGATCGTGCAGACATTTAGTTGGATTTCCAAGACGCGGTACGGCAGACGACATGGAACAACACCTCCGACGCAAGGGTGTTGTGCACCTTGCTACCACGGCTTTAGTGAACTAGCCAGGCTAATTGCTTGGAAAACCAAGGGTATACGTCATGGCTTTGATGTGCTTACAAAGCAGTGATTTACCATAAATTGACACCGGAAATAAAGGAAAACGTGCACAATGCGTACAAAATGTAGAGGAAATCCTTGGATATTTGAATAGCCGGATACACTACACAAAATCTCCCGAACGCAACTCACCCTCCTCATGGGATTGCAGGAAGCGAAGGCAGTACAAAAAAGCCGCGACCGGAGCGGAAGTCTACGTGGTCTAGCAACGGCAGAAAAGTAAAACAAGTAACTGTTACGGTTACTTTTGGAGCGCTGAACAATAAATGTAACTAAAAAACCTTAATATTTTTGGAACTTAATTGAAAACACAAGTACAGAATAAGTTTGAAACAAATAGTACGTGCATTTGTTTGTATCGTTCGCCGCTTGTAATCAAAGTTAATGTTTACTTGCTGCAAATTTCGTGGCGTACTTTTTAAATGATTTGCAGAATGGCATCTTGAGCAAAGGTTCCAATGCAGTGGGAGCAAGTATTTTTGTTGTATTAACTCGGTTATGTTAATAAAGCCAATTTTCCAACCGGAATACTTAACATGAATGCTCTCTCCTCTGTGAATAATGCGCTCACTAAAATAGGTAGGTTGTCATCCATTACCGTAGAGACTGATAGTTAAAGGAGGTCAGTTTGTTCTTTCCTCTATTAAGTCGCCGTAGCTGCCAGCTTCACCCGTTTGATGTGGAATCTATGCCACATGAATACTACGCCTTTGTTGCATAGAACTAGGCCCATTACTTAGGTTTCTAAACAACAGCCTGAGGCAGCACTAGAACAGAGGTGACATTTGATCAATAGTGGCGGTGGAGCTTTATCATGACCAATATTGCTTGTGCATGGTTTAATGAACCCAGTTAGTTAGTACCATTTCGAATCGTTTGACACCATTTTTACATGCGCTAGCTGTGCGTTAGTACTTTTGCCCTGGGTTTCAAGTCCACGTTCGGATGAAAGTGGAACAACAGATGAATCCCGTGAGTGTTCCACCTAGAGTGAATCGTTGAGCCAGGAATTGATGAAGTGGTCAGAGTTCTTGATGGGTCTAAAACGGAACACGCGTATCGCACTCTGGCCAATCAGTCAATACCCACGCTTCTAGCCGTAGCAGTCCCTGCTGTGGCCGTCACGTGAAGTAATCAGGGGATAGTAAGAGGAATTGAAGGTACAGAATAAGAAGTTCCCTTGAAAGAGTAAAATAATACCAATGCATGAAGAAATGTAAAAAAAGAAAAGCGTAGTATGCAGGTGCGATTTACTCAGGAAGAGGGAAATGTTTCTTGTTGCCAGACAAGCACGTCAAGTTGTCGCTCAAACTTCTTAACCGTAGCCTCCCTGATAACACTTTCCGGAAGCAGGTTGCAACGCTCGTTGACTAGCCTTGACAGGCGGATTTCCGCGCTTATCAGCTCGGATCGCGGTTTGTCCAGCTTCATGGTATGCCCGCGTAGGACAAACAACTTTCGCAGTTAACACACGATAGGTTAGACTTATGTCTCCTGTAACTCTTCGGTTGTGCATTGAATGCATTCCCTAACTAGGTAGACGCTCGGGGTAAGTCCGTCGGCGTAATCCGTCAACTAACCTAGCACCCACCCATAAAACCCACTCTAGCTCCACTTTGTCCGGGACGAGGAAGGGCGGACTGGTATAAACTCAGTATGCCAGTTGAGGCCGAAGAAAAGCCAAAAGTCGGGCAAGGATGTCACACCACCAGATCTTGAAAAAACGTCGGATTAACCACACATGCGGCAACTTATGCTTGCAGCGTTCTTCTGTTGCCGCGGTAGTGTACATTCGAAGAGTGCACGGCGCCTAGCTAAAGGTAGCTAGATCCACGGAGGATTTCGACAATACAAACCAAGTACTCCGCAGGAGGGGAACCTACTCCAATTGGAAGAACAGAGCACTTTGCCTGATTTATGGGCAGTAACTGTAAAGTGGCCAAGTTCAAAACTTTTCCAAGTTTCACTGAATAGCTTGGGAACCCCCAAGAACGTGGACAAGGTTTCTTTAGCTTCAGGTCGTCAGCAAATAGCAGAGCTGGCATCTCAAGCTCCGCAGGTAGGTCATTCACATGGATAGAACAGCAGCGGCCTAAGGAATGGGCCCTACGGCACGCTATTAATTACAAACTGCTTAAACGATAGGCCAAGGCCTGCCCGTACACACTGTACGCTACCATCCAAAAAGGCAATCACCCAATGAAAAGCGCGGCCAGGTCCCCGTAGGAGGTCAGCTTTTGCGCAAACCTCAATTGGGGTATCATGTCAAATGACTAAGAAAAGTCGGGGGAAACGCGTCTAGTGCGTGTCGGTTAGCAATTACATCTGCCCAACTTTCGGTAGCCATCAATAGGTGCGTCAGACAGCAAAATCCCTCTCGGAATTCGTTTTGTACATTGCTAAGTTAATTAAAGTTACGCAGCTGACGCTACAATGAATCTCACCAGTTTCTCAAGGGGGTTGACTACTACATTCGTCAGGCTAAATAGCCTGTAACTTACAGGCAGACTCCTGTCTCCATGTTTGAAGATGGGACAGAAAGGTGTTTCAAAGCTGTCAAGGGATTCCTGAAACACGATAGTGTGCGGTCCACTTAGTTCCGCCGTCAACTCATGCAACAGTTTCGGGTGAAGGAACTCAGGCCCAACGGTCTTAGATATATTCATTCCTTGTACCAGCCTAAGAAATTCCTTCTTCGCCACCATAAATTTAGATATGTTCGAAAACTCTGGGCCCCTGCAACCCAGCGCAAGGTCTGTCAACCAGGTTTCCCCTACCAAGGCTGTTGCATATCGCTTGGTAATTATGCAGGCTTTGTCCTAGTCAGTATGAGCATGAATACGGTCATCACGCATAAACGCTGAAATTGACTTGTTCGAAAGGCAGTGCTTGTTGACATATTCGAAGTATCTTTTGGATTGGCTTGTGCTTCGTCCGCCAACCCTTTCTCGAAACTGAACTGAATATTCCTTAATGATTGCTTACACCTATTTCTAGCCTTACGGTACCTGTCATAAGTATCGGTGGATGGAGCATCGCGGTTAGACCGCCAACATCTAGAACTCTTTGTGTGTAGATGCCTGCGTGTGGAACCTATCCAGGGAGGCTGTGATCGTGCATCCTTTCTCTTTGTGATTGTATTGAAGGGAGCAGAGACCCCTGTGAAATACAATTAACATTCATTCCAGGCAACCGGGACAGTATCATCGCCTGAAACCTCACGATGGAAACCGGAGTCCTCGGCTCTCATTGTTTGAAAGTCTGCATGCCATATGTTCTGGCGTGACTTAAGTGTGTTATTTTATCATCTAGACAGACTACAACTGAAGAGCAACTAAACGTGCTCAATGGAACCCAGTAGTGGTCCGTAAGTAAGATCACCAACAAAATCGAGTGACTTAGCGAATAGAAGCTTTAACATAGGTGGCATTTGGGACTCCATCAGTTGCTTGGGGAACTGATTCAGCGGTAGTTGGAGCATAAGCAAAAGTAGATGAGCGCCGAAGGTGCTTGACGCTGAGCCACAAGAAAGTGCTGCGCAGTAAATTCCGGGAGGTTGAATGTACTCATCACCAACCACTTGCTTGCGGACTGGGAGCGGATAAAGTCAAGTACCTCATCTGATACGCGCCCAGGACCCCTATACACAAGTGCAATTGTAACCTGAACCGTGCATTTGCTATGCATGGCCGCAGAGCTTAAACAGATTTATTTGCTGACTGGAATAAGGAGGTCTTCACAACGGCAAGTTTACATCTCACACAAAATTTGATGTCTCCTCCTTGCTGGCCAGCGGGGCGTGCATACCTAACTAATGAGTCGCCAGAGAGATGTACTTCGTTGCCTGTGGGGTCCTAAGACAACCACGTTTTAGTGAATGCTAATATATCGGGAGAAGACCCATCTACAAGCGGACCTAAATCGGACACCATATTCCTTAGGCTGCATACATTACTTAGCACTAACTGAAGGTCTTCGTTGGGTCCAGACTTAGGTCGTGCGCTACCAGAATAGGCAGCGGTAGGGCAGAAAAAGAGCACCGGCTGACCACCTATAAGCAAACAACCGGAGACGTTGTTCACCAGCCGCTCGCCTACTTTTGAGGTCCTTGATGGCCACCTTTGGCTTCAGTCTATCGGTCAGCGGAACGGCAGGCTAAACACTAGCGTTAGTATCTTAAAGCTTACAAGCAAGCCTCAGGATATCATTGCGTTCATCCAGGTAAAGAGTGCTACACAAAGTAGCCTCGGTGAAGGCTTTGGTGCTTTTACTGGGACGTTCCCCAGTCTGACCAGCTTCCTGACAGTTATGTCTGAATAACCAATTGGAAGAAGCACCGTTCCCCGTATACTAATCTACTGAAGGTTGAACAACATGCCAACAGCAGGAAGGACAGCCGTAGATTCGGAAGCGTTAAGGAATATAGCGCTACTATCCGTAACAGAATCATCACGACGGTTGGTAACCACCATACGGGTCTTGGCTTTGACACTTGGAGCAGGTAATCTCAGCACTTGTGCTGGGACTGTCTTTATCCCCTCAGATGATGCAGCACCGACAGCATATATTCTCGCTCCGTTGTCGGTGCCATATTTTTTCCGGTCGTCGACTCCAATAGAAGGCTTTATGGCCTGGTTGGCCTGCTTTTTCCATTTGATAACCGAAGCAAGGACTTGTGACTCTTTGTCGAGTTGAGCAGGGTCAAGCAAACTGTTAGAACCTGCCTTATTGGTGAGCCGAGATATCCGGCACATTCGACTGACGAGTAGTGCCTGTGGGAGCATTCGCCTTCGCACAACCGTTAGACGACTTACCAAGTAATAGCCCTTGGCTTGTTTCCGGTGCCGAGGCCACTACAGCTTCTTGTTTAGCAGAGAGCAAACGGGGTTTTTAGGCACTTTCGCCATACTCGAATAGACCTTTAAACCAGGAAATCAGCGTCGATCAGCGTAGCTTTAAATAGACGTCTGAAGCGGCTTCATTTTTCTGGTCCGAAGTCACCTGGACGGGGTGACACAGTGAATGGTGAACACGTTGTTCTCCAGTGTGAGCGATCAAATCTGTGTTGCAGGAGATCGGAGGTATCGTCATTAGCATAGCAACCTTGCGGTGAAATCTGTGAGCATCGAGAACGTACGCTCAACATTTCACAGCCGGGAATCAAAAGAAGTGTCTGCATTTGAAAGGCCGCGCGGCCTTGCCGGCGGCTGCAGCGATTGGCACAAC